TTCTTCTTCTTCTTCTTCTTCTTCTTCTTCTTCTTCTTCTTCTTCTTCTTCTTAATAATAATAATTCTGTTAGCTTGAGCATTTGAGCGGCGTGAACATTTTTTCTTTAATTGTAGGTGTTGTTACACCTCCATCGACGTAATTTAAATCCCTAAATAGGGGGTTTCCCACCCTGCCAGTCAGGGCCAGTCCAGGCAGAGAGAGATAAAACATCTCAACAGAAAGACCGAGTTACTCGATACATTTTCGCCCAACTCCAGAATCGAACCCAGGTCTCCTGCATGCAACATCTAAGTCTAAGCGCCTGACCGGTACACCACTGACGCCGGTGCCGTGAACATGGCGTACCAGCATTGGATAGTGACCCAGGCCCGACATTGTGTCCTCGGGAAAGGCACTTCGCATGAATTTTCCTCACTTCACCCAGGTGGAAATGGGTACCCGGCCATAGACAAGATCTTTTCAGCATGTTAGGGTTTTGCGCCTATCAAATAGCAGCTTGCACTGCATACTTCCCCGGAAGATTGTTTCAGAATGATATAGGGTCTGCTGGGGTAACAACATTGTAGATTGTAAAGCTCATAGATAGAGCTTGCTGTTGACCTGGAACTTGCGCTATCTATCTATCTATCTATCTATCTATCTATCTATCTATCTATCTATCTATCTATCTATCTATCGATCGATCGATCTATAAATCTATCGATCTATCGATCTATCGATCTATTTATCCATTATTATTATTATTATTATTATTATTATTATTTTTATTATTACTTTTATTATTATTATTGCATGTATTATTATTATTATTATTATTATTATTATTATTATAGTTATTATTATCATTATTACTTTTATTATTATTATTGCATGTATTATTATTATTATTATTATTATTTTTATTTTTTTTATTATTATTATTATTATTATTATTATTATTACTATTATTATTATTATTACTATTGTTATTATTATTATTGTTGTTATTATTATCATTATTATTTCCATGCTACAATGCTCACTCCTCAGAGGTTACCTGAGCATTGAGGAACTGAAGGACGTCGTCCAGTTGCCCAGCGTAGACCACCTCCACGTCATGTTTGCCTCCTGGAACACTGACCATTTGATCGGCATTGCCACCTTTCCCTGGGACAAGCATGTGTTCGGCGTGAGAGGTACATGCATTTGATGTGGCACGGTTATGTGCTCACGATTCAAATGTTGTTAAAATCGAAAGGTTGGACCATCGAAGTGTAGCATTGTTTGAAATGAACGGTTGGTCCACCAAAGAGTGACATTGCTAAAATAGAAAGGTTGGGCCATCAAAGAGTGATATTTCTAAAATAGTGTAGCATTGTTGGAATTGAAAGGTTCGACTTTCTTGTCTGTGATGTCCGTTAATAACGGAATGTCTCTTGATAGAATCATATTTTGTGAGGTAATTAGGATGTTTAACGACGCTTAAAGTACGTTTTGTAGAGAGTTTCGATCTTAGGAGAAATAAATGCTGTCCATGTTAACTCGAAAACTACGCTTCATGCTACTTTTACTGATGCTACTTTGTTTTTATTTGTACTCACATATGCATACACACATACACACACATACACACACACACACACACACACACACACACACACACACAAGCACACACACACACTCTCCCAACGTCCATACACACCATCATTTCCCAACCGAATAGGCTTGCATTATAAAAATATAACTATAAAATGTGTCATGCAATACACAGTGGAATCAGGCGCTCGACAATTATCTTTTGGAATATGCAATTATTGGTATTATCTTAAAGCGTGTATATTTGCCTTGCTTTCGATGAAAAGTTACCCATTTTTTAAAAAGTAGAGATATTTGCGATTAAGAAAGGCGGGGGTCGCCTGGTATCAGAGGTAAAGTAAATTTAAGCGAGAAAATGGCCACCAAATTTTGGTGACATCAAAAGCATGAGTGTCCTTGGAATATGCAAATTAACATTTTATATTCCTTTTAAGAACGTTTTTGAGTAAAAATAACCCCTACGGAAATATGTTTTATTCAGACGTAAGAAGCGTGGAGACTTTTTTTTAATGATAAAAATTGCCAAATTAGCGGAAAACATGTCGATTTCTTCCATTTTATTATTTTGACAAGAGCCTGATTTCACCCCGATGCCACACATTTATAATCCTTGTAAAGAACATGAAACACACCATCCCAATATCCATTCCATTCTATTTGAGTCAATGGTACTCTGTGCATCCAATCTTCCTTTCTATTTTGACCTGCCCATGAAGTATGGCATGGCGAGATAGTGCTGAATCAGGACTTTCAGATTAATTCAGTTTACACTTGCGTATTTCCAAGGACGAGCAGAATCTATCGATGGGTTGAGAATCCGTTGATAACTCTTATCAGCTAGCTTGGCTAGGTCACAGCAAAACTTTGATTCAACCAACTTTTAACTGTTTTGTTGTTTCTTTAAAATGTAATTAAGGGTATTTTTTCCCCATGACTTAAATGTGCTTTGGTGAGCACATGTCTCTGTGGTCCACACGTCTGTAATGAATGTTGTGAACTCTCTCTCTCTCTCTCTCTCTCTCTCTCTCTCTCTCTCTCTCTCTCTCTCTCTCTCTCTCTCTCTCTCTCTCTCTGTGTGTGTGTGTGTGTGTGTCTCTACCTCTTTCTATCTGTGTCTCTCTCTCTGTCTTTCTATCTTTCTCTCTATCTCTTTCTCTCTGTCTTTTTTCTCTCTCTCTCTCTTTCTCTCTCTTTCTCTCTCTCTCTCTTACTCTCTATTTCTCTCTCTTTATCTCTGTCTGTCTTTACCTCTCTCTTTTTCTCTCTGTCTCTCTCTATCTCTCTCTCTCTCTCTCTCTCTCTCTCTCTCTCTCTCTGTCTCTCTTTCTCTATCACTTTTACTCTCTATTTCTCTCTTACGCTCTCTCTCTCTCTCTGTCTCTCTTTCTCTATCACTTTTACTCTCTATTTCTCTCTTACGCTCTCTCTCTCTCTCTGTCTTTCTCTCTGTCTCTCTCTTTCTCTCTCCCTTTTACTCTCTATTTCTCTCTTGCACTCTCTCTCTCACGCACTCACACAACACACACACATACACACACATACACACACACACACACACTCACAACACACACACACACACACACACACACGCTCGCACACACTCACTCATCGCCCACCCACTCACTCCCTCACTCACTGATTAAATCACTCACTCACTCACTCACTTTCTCTGTATGTATGTCTGTCTGTCTCTGTGTGTGTGTCTGTCTGTCTGTCTCTCT